TAATCATTGATAAAATAATTACATAAATAATAATATCCCTTATAAAAAATAATATATTACATATCATTCCGCCACCATTCTTGATTTCTTTTTTTATGTATTTATGTATTTAATGTAGATAAGGGTAGATAAGCTATAGATGCAGAAAGTGTTTCAAATAATAAAAAAAAAAGATAATTAAATACATAATTGGAGACTTGGAAGGATATGTCAAATGTTTAGCCTCTGTGAATATTTATCCTGTTACACGATGTACGAATAATTTCACAATAATTCAAATGCAATAAGAAAAGGCAATTTTTTTTTTATATTTTGAGAGAAGCAAACTTTATCTTATACTGTATCCAGTATATAATATCTACTGTTCCTTTTCTTGTAAATAAATTTTTTATGTCTTTGTAAATTTGTTTTTCAATGAAAAGTGCCGTTTTGAACTTATAAAACTTGCAATGCACAGGATATCTATATTATATATAATATACTGTGCCTCTATGCATTGAAATTCTCATAAGTTCAAGCTGGTACGCGTCGGTGAGAAAAATTGTGCGTTACTATATTAACGTAACGGATTTAAAATTCAGCGAAATAATATTGTTCCATAATGGAAATGAAAAATACTTGAAAATGTTTTGTCATCTTACAAGTTTTTCCAACAAAACAGTTGAGATTCTTATTACTATCCCAAGCCTATTTTAATTAATTGAGAAATTACCGATTTATTGTAATAACGAATTTTTGTTGCCAATTTAGAAACATAATAATAATTCTTTTAACAAGATGAATATAAATTTTAAATTAATGTATAAAGTACAAATATTTATTGTATAAGCGAGTAGTTTTGACAAGTCTGTAAAAGCATACGCAACCACCAGTCCTACATTTATTGAGATAAGCTAGTATAATGAAAATGTTAGTATTATTGTTTGAAATTATAGAATTAATTAATCAATTGAATTATTAAAAAGCTAATGCAAATCAAACAGTTCTGTATAAATTCTAATTTGTCATCCCTCGACTTTTCCCTTGTCTTTCATGTCCTATTTTAGGGGAAACCTTTGCTTCCCCCCCCCCCCCACCCCACCCCACACCCACCCCTTCGTATCGGAAATCCATCGGCTCTGGCGTACGCACGTGCAAAGCTTTGTCTCTTTATCGATGAAACGTTCAAATGCAGCACTGGAAATAAAATGCTTCCGCAAGATATTATGCTTGAAGTTTAAAAATATCCAGTGCATCGGATATCTTGCTTGTGAAATAAATGCAGGAGTATTTTTCAGAAACCCTTTTGCGCTTTACGAGGAGTGAATACATCTTGACTTTTTATAGGTCCGCATGATGTTGCCTACATTTGTTCTGTAACGAATAGTCGTAAAAATTTGTTAATATCGTAGAATTGAAGATGATAAGATATATATGATAAGAAACTTTGCTCATTTTTATCAATTCAATGGAAAGTATTTGTTAATAATGACAATAAGAGATACAAATAAAATATGTGATTAATAATGTGGCAGACCTTCTATATAAATATTATATTTACGAAATTATAATCTTAAATAATAAAGTGGAATATTTACTTCATAAACTACTAGCAAATGTTACTACATTTAAATGTTCCTCTAAAGGTTTAACGTCTCTATAAGTAATAATTGAATGTAATTTCGGCATTTTTAATCAATTAGGTATAGTTTTTACTCGTATAAAATGAAGAAAAGAATGAGAACATCAAAGTATAAAATAATCTTCTTTACCTCGGTGTTAAGCTTCACTATATGAATATATATATATATATATATATATATATATATATATATATATTATATATTATATTATATATTATATTATATTATATATTAATATATATTTTGTTTTACTGTGATTCAATCTTCATATATATATATATATATATATATATATATATATG